CACCAAACAACCCCCCAGCCCAGCACTTCACCCCCCGCTCCCAGAGGGAAATTGATTTCTAGTCAATCGCCTTAACCACTCGGCCACGTTGTCATGCCGCTCTTTCTGGATAAAGATATCAGACGCTGTATTTACTCATAACATTGGGTTTAAACTCAAGTTTACATTATTAATTGGTTATGAATTCTGAGTTGGTTTTAGTACGCTCTTCTGGATGAATTCTGAGTTGGTTTTAGTACGCTCTTCTGGATGAATTCTGAGTTGGTATTAGTACGCTCTTCTGGATGAATTCTTGTATAGTTCGGTAGGATAGGAGATAAAGTGATATATATTAGGTTACCGTTTATCCTTTGATCAATTGTCTGGAGTACGCGAGAGAAAAACGCGCTCACACACTTGAAATTTTACACTACAATGAAAACAGAGATTCGCAATAATGTAGACCAAGCCTTAATGGGTTTGTTGGTGGATCAAGCTGACAAATTCAACTTGTACACCAAATCTCCGGAAGAAATGGAAGATCAACATATTTATGAACTGCTCGAACTCACACTCGATATTCTCGGTGAAGCAAAACGGCAGCCTATAAGACTTTTAGGAAAAGACAAGAAAGTGCAGTTGATAAAACAAATCCTATTACAACGGGAACATTTGCCAAACAAAGACTGTGGAAAGTCTCCGAATTATTATATAGATTTGTTGAACAACACTGTCGCTGCTTCTGCAACAAATGTAAAATCAAAAGCAGAACAACTGGTAGATTTATTTTCTAGAGGAATAACAGGAGCATCCAAATCCACTGTAACGCTAAAGGATATCATATCCGAGCTAAAAATCCAATGTCAATGTCAATCCATGAGGTGAAATGAATTAATACTAGTTGGTTAAAGGAATTCATGGCATCAGGGGGGCTGACTAGTTTATTTTCAGTGCTGCAATCGATGCATTCGAAACCTGGAAGGTGCCGGAATATTAATTATAGGAGAGCAAAACATTACGAAATAGAATCTGAAACTTTAAAGATACTTCGGCTGATTGCCAACCAGCATGCAGGAATCACCGACATTCTTGGGCAGCAGAATTACTTGAATATCCTAATCCTTTCTCTTGATTCTCCGCTGTTGATGGCAAGAACCGCTACTCTTGATTTTCTATTGGCCATTGTGACTCTAGATTATCCAAACGGACATAGATTAGTAATGGAGGCAATGGAATATTTCAAAACAGTTCGAAACACAGCACGAACATTTGACTGCTTGATTGAATCACTTAATAGCACGGTTACTTCTCGCGGTATATTTGGCAGTACAGTTGGAAGTACTCAGATGGAATTCAATATGTTTGGGTTTGGCGAAAAACTTAAAGCACCAACTGAAAAAGACTTGCGAGAGTTTCTAGTCTCGGCAACGGCACTGATTAGGTTTATTGTTGAAATTCCACCAGAGTTTGAGTATAGAATGCATATCCGACATGAGCTTATTTCATCTGGTTTAAACACAGTTTTTCAAGTAACTCTAAGCTAATTCAGAAACTTCGAACCTGGGCCTCGTCGGAATTTAGAGATATTTTGCAGCATGTGGATGCATTTGAGAACTTGAAGAATGCCGACTTTAAATACCTGTTGGCGAATATGGACTCTGAATTGAATGTGGATATTGAAGATCCAAACCAGCTATTAATGGTTTTGAAATCAAAATTAGACGATAATGACAATCGAACAATTACCAGTTTAATTCAAAATATTGTAGTTGGCACTTTGCTGATTGACAAGGATACCAGGTCCTATATGCTGTCCATGATTGAGAAAACAGTAATGTATATTGTGCTGGATCAAAACGGGATTACCAATTTTACCGATGCGTTCAAATACTCTGTTGATCAGATTATTGCAGGGTTACAAGAAATAGAGGTTTTACAAGAAGAGAATCTTCAGCTCTCTGCTATCTGTGACCACCAAGAACACCAACTATTGCAAATGAAGGATGATAAAACAAAAAGTACTGGTTTGGCGTATTTTGATGAAATTTCAGAAGGGCAGCTGTTAACACACAAGAAAGTAAGAATAATTAATTAAATAGAATTTAAACAAAATATTCAAGAGATTCAAAGAATTATTGCTCAATAATAATCAAGAATTGGCAAGATTCGATAGTGTCACCACTGTAGTCGATGAAAATAATGAATCCCGCAATTCAATTGGTCCTTCTAGCACCCCATCAACTGGAAAACCACCACCTCCGCCTCCTCCACCGATGATGGGTGTTCCCGCAGGTATTCCTCCTCCGCCACCAGTACCAGTTTTTGGAATACCTCCTCCCCCTCCAACAGCAATATCAACTCCAACTCCAACCCTAAAGTACAAGCCAAAAACGAAAACCCGCAAGTTACATTGGGAAAAGATTGCGCCTACTGCTTACGAAAACTCTGTATGGTCAACAATATTGCCAGAGAATTCTAAACTGGAAGAGAATTTATATCAACTAGGATTATTGGAGCAAGTGGATCAACATTTTGAAATCAAAGATACAAGAGCATTTTCACCACAAAAGAAAACTCTTATAGTCAGCGAAGATTCGTTGTTTACAGTGCTGCCAGAAAAGAGAGCGCAAAATATCATGATATTTCTCGGTACAGTAAAACAAATGACTCTGGAGGAGCTGGTGCATAGTATCAAGAGCTTTGATGATTCCAAGCTATCCGACGTTATATTAAAACAGTGCTTGGCAGCTGTACCGACACCAGATGAAGTAAAATTGTTAATGGATATACCCAGTTCAACAGCAAATATTCGTCAGGCAGAGTTGTTTATGCTGATGGTAAGATTAGTTAACCAAGACCTGCAAGATTTACAAATTCTCAAAGAGGATTGAAATGATGACTTTCAAACTCAACTTTCACGACCAGTTCAACAACTTGAAATTGGAAATATTGGCATCAACAGCTGCATTGCAATGCATACATACTTCACAGAAATTCCAAAAACTTTTAAATGTAAAACTTATTGACCAAAGTATATATTAGTGATTGGCAACTATTTAAACGCTGGGAGTACATCATTTAGTATATCTGGATTCAAGATAACATTTTTAGAGAATATCATTGACCTTAAAGGAACAAGTGGCTACCCAGCAATTAGAATGGTCGCTAAAATGGTCCTTGAAGCAGATCCAGACGTCTCACACTGCTTATCAGAAATGAAAGCCATCCGGCAACTGAGAAACATTTCGTTTAAAGCAATGGAGGAAGACATCAGAGAAATCAACTGCCAGCTGAAAATAGTTCAAAGAGAACTGAATGATTCTGATACTTTTATCTTGAAATCAGATAATAGCGAAGCTGAACGGGCATTCATAAAGAAACTAAAGGAATTCCAAACAGAGATTGTTTCCAAGGTGGAATTACTGGATAGACAGTATATGAATTTGCAAGATGAGATTGCAACAGCGTTTGCATTCTTTGGAGAATCTGATTCGTCCAAACTAACCGCAGAAAATATCATTTCGTATGTAGCCAAATTCCTAAATGCATTCGAGGTGCTTGTTTCTAATAGTAGCAAGCATACATTGAAGAAGAAAAGCAGAGAAAAAAAAACAAACTTAAAAAATCAATACCAGCGACAAAAGCTGCTGATGCTAAATCTCAAGAGGTCAGACATTTGGATAATTTGTTGGAAAATCTAAAAAACAGACCTGCGCTATCGTCATTTGATACAAAGCAAAAACCAAAACAAAGAGAAACTCTAGAATTTAAACGGATTCCAAAAACCAGTCAGCCAGTGTCATCTCAAGCACCTAAACTTCGAAATCCATCATTTACTAGTGTATCAGATACAGCTTGGAAATTACTGGGGTCGCTGAATATCGACGATATAGAACCAAAGAATAAATAACGTAGAAGCAGTGTTTATTCACTTTTTTCTGAATGATTTCTTTCCAGATGATTTAAACTTTTTGAAAGCTGGAGCATCAGCAGCAACTTTCTCTGTGTCTTCATCTTTGAAATCCACTGGTACAGATTTTTCTACCAATTCAAATGTGGAAGCATCTCGCTTTTTATCTAAAGCAACTTTTTCAATCTTTTCAGCTTCTTGCTCGGCAGCAGCTTTTTCAAATACATCTTGCTCTTCTTCCGATATGTATAACTGCTCCGGTTCATCCTCTACTACTTCCCATTCTCCAATCTTCCCGACTCCAATCTCTTTCTGATTATTCTCTAAAAATTCTTCTGTTACTTTGAATTCCACTTCAGGCATCTCTGCTGGATCATAAGCATATCCGTAATCATGTACATTTATCGTCTTCTTTGCCAGATCCGGTTTCTTTTCAATTACTCCTGTTCCAGTCCGATAACTTACAGAGTGTCCCATTGCCTTTGCAGCTTTCTACATTAACACAGTGCTACCCGCTCTATTTCCAGCAGCATTTGAGCTTCCTTTGCATCCTGCTTTTGTTTCATATCCTGTCTTTTATATACATTCCTCAAGTGCCTTTCAAGCTGCGCTTTGTGTTTTGGCCCAGTATCATGATTCTTTCTCGACTACAGTTAAATATGATTACTATGGGATTGTTTTGGACAAATATCCTGCAAAATCCACACCAATGTTTTGCTCCATATTTTTCAACCCGATCTGCCATTTGAAATTGGAAAAAAAATTCAGGGTTTTCGCTTCAAACCGTTAAATATCTTACAGCCCATTAAAGCGCTTTAAGCGAGTGTTGTGGATTATTTATATTTGAATGAATGTGTATCCTCAGGAAGATGACGAAGCAAGACAACGTGGCCGAGTGGTTAAGGCGATTGACTAGAAATCAATTTCCCTCTGGGAGCGCAGGTTCAAGTCCTGCCGTTGTCGTTTTTTTATCGACTGGCTTATTCTGATAATCTTGGAATTGCAAATGGACATTAAAATAGGGCAAATCTAACTTTTAAAAATGTTTATTCCTACAGCTCTTTGTGCGGTAATGTGTCTTCCGGATTATGGGCTGGTTTTTTGATTATCCTTTTCTTTACATCTGAGAATGTAAAATGTTTTAGTCTTTGGATTACAAAGATTAAACAACAACCGTGCAAACAGCAGGCAAGCTCGGTGATTCCAAAAACCTGAGAAGGTAAATCCGCATTCGAGGTTTTGGATGCACCCATTACATATGCAAATAATGAAAAACAAGTCCAGTCAAATACAAGTATTGCAAAGCTCGTAAGCACCATCAATTTTAACGATTTCATTGATTCGCTAG